AGATTTTCAGTTTTAAAAAATACTTTAATATTTTATTTAACAATTCATTTATTATTCTAAAGTAGAAAAAAAGGAAATACATTTCAATAAAAGTTATTTATAACTCAATCCTTCAGACATTTTATGGGACCACTTAAAACAATTAGTTTATGTTCAGCCAATTAACACTATTGAGCAATTAAACGATAGATTTTAAATTCAGTGCATACAATTCAGAACACTAAATTTACAATTTACAATGTAGTAGTTTGCGTTGCTATTTTTGAATATCTATTGTAGTATTCAACGACGTAATAACTTATATGTATTTGCTTTTTTTAAATTAGTATAAAATCACTGCTGATTGTTAAATAAAATAAAAAGTATTTTCTAAAACCGAATATCTCCTAAATTAAGCTCTATCTAAAATCACGTTATTTTGCATGTTCAGTTACTAAACACTCTGTATAATAAAAATGAAAAATATTTAAAAGATTAATTGGTAAAATAAACTTGTGCAGTTATTATTAATCTTGTGGAATTCATTCAAAACATTCACTTAAGCATTATAATTATAAAGTTTTAAACTAACTTCAACGTTCACAAAAAATATTAATTGTATTTAGCACCCATTTCCTAAAAATTTTTAGTCCGGACCTGTCGAACGACTGAAAGGTCACTTTTTGAAGTACAATAATTACCAGAAACTGTACGTGTGATTAGGCAACCCAACATACTCTCTAAAATCTTAAATATTGGAAAACGAACAGGTAAATATAAATAAAGTAATTTTAACATATTCGCAGAAAAAAGTAAACGTTATTGATTGATTTATGAATCTATAATTTTTAATTAGACATTGAAATTTCATTTTGCAAGTTAATTTATATTGTGTTATTCTGAGAAATTTGTTAGCTACAGTTTTCTCACATACGTAAAGTATGCACCGTCTAATATGAAAGAATATTCAATAAATGATCTAAATACGCTCTCGTTAGCGCGATATCTTCTTTTGCAAAATACGACAGGATATGCAGAAACTGGAGAAATAAAGTAATATAAGTACAATAAATGCAATTTAAATTTTTGATGTGTTACGCTTTGTTGAAAAGATTTTGAGAGTTCAGTTAGTTTAGGACAGTTTTCAGATGAAAGTTAGTCTAGAGGACTGGAGAACTATATTCTACACATTCACCATATTATGCATTTTCTCTCGTACAAAATAAAAAGAAAGTTGAAGATGTGTATTCTAATTAAGATCTTTACCTTAAATTATTTTTATTAATATATAAGTTCTCTTTCTAAACATTTTTATATCTATACTGAATTTTGGGCAATTGTGTTCGATTTAATTCAGCTTCACAGACATGCATCTAATACTCTTCTATTCAACTTTGTAATATAAAAACTAATATAATCCACAAATATGTAAAGGTGAACTTACAAACCATTTCTCTTAAAATATTCTTTAACTTCTGGTAGTTATTTAGTTATTTTGATTGCTTTGGTCCATTCATCATCTTTACGCCACTGCCTAGGATAGATTTTCATTAATGTCATTTATAAACTTCGTACTAAGTTAAATAAATAAGTGTTTTCTATTGCCAATGGAACTTCTTTCATATATTACATTTTCAAGAATACAACCCTCTCTTTTTCCTAAAAGTAAGNTACAATATCCAACAAATCATAATTTTGAATTTTCTGTCACATATTCCACACAATCAAATGAAAATTTAATAAGGATTAGGGCTAAATACCTTCAGGCGTCGTCTCCCTTTATAGACAGCATAGACCAACGGACAGCAAAAACGAGATACACTTATGCACTGCATACTGCTATCAGGCTTGCAAGAATATTCTAAAGCTATGCCCGAAACGGTGATGACATAGAAACGGTACGCAGAAGCATCATATTAGACCTTCTGCGACGGTTAATATTATTTTCGTAAGAAATCGTTCAAACAACATGAGTCATGTTGCCAAAGCTAATAATCTCAAGAGATAACGATATAAGATAATACATTCAAACAGTTCCCTTCACAGTGTCTCTTTACCCCGCTCCCTCAGCGAGGTTAAAAAGCCATTTAATTTTCCACTTTCAATATGTAAAAGCAATTTCGTTTGAAGAATAAACGATAAAAACTCAACAAAGCAGACACGAATTCAGGAAAATATTTCCACTATTAAATTCAAACAGAATTTTTATTATTCATTTTCATTGAATTAATTCCGAAAATAAATGAAAATTTATAATGAAAATTCAAGTACAGTTAAGTATTTATACAGGGTGTTTCGCAACTAAACGGAGATAACGAAATAAGATAATACATTCAAACAGTTCCTTTCACAGTGTCTCTCTTTACCCCGCTCCCTAAGCGAGGTTAAAAGCCATTTAATTTTCCATTTTCAATATGTAAAAGCAATTTCGTTTAAAGAATAAACGATAAAAACCCAACAAAGCAGACACGAATTCAGGAAAATATTTCCACTAGTAAATTCAAACAGAATTTTTATTATTCATTTTCATTGAATTAATTCCGAAAATAAACGAAAATTTGTAATTAAAATTCAAGTATAGTTAAGTATTTATACAGGGTGTTTGGCAACTGAACAGAAAAAATCAAATGTCATATCAA